GAAGACGATTAAGAGCCTGTTCCCACCGCGGCCGCCTCGATCAAGAAAGCGACGAATTGTGAGTGCATGCTTAGGGTTAGTCTTGGATAACTTGAGCGTGAAAATACATAACTGTTTTTGAAAGTCCAGGTAGTAATTTGAGAAACATTACGTGCTTGTTATTTCCGTAGCACGATTATCTCCAAGTCGGTTCGTTTTCAACAAGACACTGCGTTTTATGAAATAATGTAGGTGCTGAGCAGTATTAAGAAACGGATCACGAATCTCAGAATTAAACCATGCAAACCTTAAGAATTGAACCTTGCGAACTGTACGAACTCAACACTGCGAACATTTATGTTATTTTTTAATCAGAACCGAGCATGAAACCGAAAACTGCTTATCTTATCAAAGGGCGTGTTTATTGACACACGCATAGCTTTCATATACCAGAATCGAGTTTAAGCCTTCCAGAGAAGTTGTTTTCCACAAGAACGGATAATTTCTTTTTGACGAGTTAGCACCTTGGAATCTTATAAATCTAATTATCGGAGGATGTAACCAATAATAACCTTAACAGGCAGTCTCATGACCTGTGCTTTGATAGTTTTCTCTCTCAGGCCATCAGCTTATTTTATTTACGATAAACGAGCGTGAGTAATTTACTGTTCACTCAGCTCTGATAGTGCTACCTTTTTGAAACTAGTAACCTTGCGGATAAGATTGTTTTCATAATGTTTTCCTATCGCAAATGAGAAACAACGCTTCAGTGTGGCGCTCATATCAAGGCGTTTCTTGTCGTAAAGTCGGTTTACAGCATGTTTCTGTTATTATTCACTTCCATTGGAAGTCAAACCTAGGCAAACGAATGCGCTATATATGCTGCTCAATGCTAGTTGTAATCATCCCTGAAGCAGTCTGAGTTAGAGACGAAACACGTCGGAAAAAATAAACAAATAGTTACAACAGCAAAAAGCCTTCCTTTGTGCTGCTCACTTATCTCCGTTAAAAAATGTCAAGAGAGCATAAATCTTTTACATTTCCCGAGCGTGGAAAAAAGAGTTTCACTCACGAAACCAGGCGAAGACTACCCATGACATGCGACAACAGCTTTGCGCTTACGTCACGCTCGCTCCAGAATCGATAGGCTTGAGGTCACTGTGATATTCACCGGAAAAAATCTTACTTTAATTACTTTACGGCTTGGACTAAAAAAAAATTTCTATAAGTAACAGACTCGATAATGGTCAACAGGAAAAAAATGATTTTTTTTAACCTCTATTTGGCACGGCATGCAATTTACTTGTGGCTCTGAATACAGATACCCGATACGTCGCGTTTCGATTATTGAACCTTTTAGAGGAAGTGTTTTATTTCTCACTTCGTATTTCATAGTCTCTAAATGGTGGCTTGTAACAAAATGGAACAATTTTTTTTTTTCCATCGTATATTTCGGTAGTAGTGTACAGCGAGAGCGAAGTTGTTACTTTCAAGTCTTCACATTACCCTTTTTACTGTCTTACACGAGTGTGACGTATTACATCACGTGACCTGGATCGGAACGTCTCCAAAATGGCCGTCGATTAATCGTCAAAAAAAAATTGTAAAAAATTTGGTTTAGAACAAAATATCGTTTATTTGCTCATTTAGGATTCTTTAACCTAAGGGGAATATATTAGGACATGGAAAATAATGGGAAAAATTTGCCGTCAGTCATCCTTTAACGACAGCAGTTTAACCTGATTACCCGTGTTTGAGAGCGAATGACGGAAGTAGATTCCTTTCAAATATTAAAGTTAACACAGGTAAAATCAAAGTTTTACTTGCCATTTACCAATGCATTAAACGCCGTGAGCCATTGACCACTGACGCATTCACTTAGTAGTTGGTATATATTTTCTTTTGCAGTAGGAATGTTTGCGAAGAGAGGAAATATAAGTCTGTTTCAACATCCACCCTGGTGTCGACTGTCAGCTATCAATCCTACACCACAAAGTGTGGATTTCTTGGTTGGGGACGTTGCAGAAGATCTAGGTTGTTTATCTTCACTGAAGTACCCAAGAAAATAAACAAATTTTCAAGATAGGATATTTCCAGAACACTTCTTTTTCTTTTTTTGGGATACTCTCTATTTGTGACTGCCTTTGTTTGCCCTTTCTTTACTAGTAATTTTTAGTCTAGTTAAGATCAGTAGTGAGATTTGTCTTAATGGCTAAGACATTGACCCGGCTCAAGCTTTCTAGGAGCAGTGTTCCGGCGCCTTTGAACTTAAGTTAGACCCCTTCCCATTACAAGGTCTCTCTCTCCATTCAGAAATACAAATGGCTATAACCAAAATGCTTAGAAACCGAGAAAATGTCAGGGTAACTTACGATGAACGGAAATCTCATCTAGTGTGGAGCAAGCAATCCGTTCACAAGTACAACCCCTTAATGTACATGGGTGCTCTGTATCTTTCAGAACTGTAACCGGCTACAAATGGAAGACGATCTACCGTTGGACAACTGACATATACCTGAAGTGTTGCTATGGATGGAGCAGAGAAAACAGTTGCTGCTCAAAAGGTTAGATTAAAGAGAGGTTCAAGCTAAGCAAAATCTGATATCAGATCACTGGTGATTTCAAAAGAACGAGGAGAAACCAAAATCACCCAATTTTGTCAGATGAATCTGAGTCACGAGAAAATGTTATAACAAGAGAAAGGGAAAGTAATAAGTAATTTAAGGAGTAAAGTAATAAGAAGTAAGTTGGCCACCGTAAAGAGTTTCTAAAGCTGACATTTCCAGCGTTATTCCTTCGTCAGAGCGAAGGGTATTTACTTTTGATTCATTGTGGCTTTTGGTATACTTTCCCTGATGTAGTCCGTGACACACTCTGGAGCTGGGTCGTCCATAGCATGATTAAGCTAACTGAGAATTAGCCAACAATTTTGTATTTCTATTTTAGTTTTGTTACTTTTGCAAGCAGTTTTTGGTGTACATATTTTTTTCCTAAAGTTTCGTCTAAGTTACAACCACTCAAAACGTAAGCCTTAATATATATGCTTTCTTGCAAGAGGAATCAAAGACAAGTTAAACTTTTTTTAATTTCTTGATTATCGCCAATATGTCTTTCGAACAACCGGGTCCAGAAGCGCACTTAATCCATACGTCAAAAACAAGGAATACGGATATTCTCAAGGGCTTGTGGTGGATGGACAGATTGCTTTGTTCATTCTTTCCAATCACAAGGTTGCTCCAGGGGACTATTCTTGGCTCTTATTTGCTTTCAATTTTGCTACGTGGCATCGACGCAGTCCTTCCGTCTAATAGTGATCTTTAAGACTTTCGCACTAAAAGAGTTCAGTCTGGCGAATTTCAAATGTGATAAATCTAACAAAGCAATCAACCAAGTTTCAACAACAATTTCACATAAATAGTCAACATAATTCCCCGGCGCTCGATACCTTATTTGCGAGATAGCCATATTTTCTTATTTTGTGCTGTTTATTTGATAGGTGCTATAAAGGTAAGTAGGAAGGTATAGGCATGTAGAGGTTAGAAGCTGACAGTAACGTAGGTGCATAAATGGGAAAGAAACAGCTTCTTTTCTTTTTCTTTCTTTTTTTTTTTGTTTCACTAGCAATCTGCAGTTTTGGTTGCAACAACGGGGGAACTTGTAATTATCCGAACAGATGCACATGTACATCTTATTGGACAGGATCTACATGTAGTGTAGGTAAGGAAAATTCAAACAGACAGAAAAACATAAAAACAAACAAACGCATAAGCAGTCATCTACTTTTTGTGTGTAACAAGTTAGCAATATGTAGATGTTACTTCATCATAAGATAATAATTTACTTCCTTGAGCTGAAACTTGTCAGTCAGTGACAAACTGTTCTGTCCGTTTGCTTTCGACAGATATAGACGAATGTGGTTCAAGTAACGGAGGTTGTCAGCAGATATGTAACAACAGGAAAGGACAATCAAGAACTTGCTCTTGTTATAGAGGGTACAAAACAAATCCATACGATTTCAAGAAGTGCGTTGGTAAGCGTAAACTTCCCATCATTGCTCAGTGTGTCGGTCTGATTTCCCATCTAATTGTGTCAATAACAAAATATTCGTTAATGAGTGGCTCTCAAAAGCCCATGATTGAGGTTTTATTTCAAGTCGGACAGGCCAACAGAGTTTAATTCTGTTAGGGGAGATCTTCGAAAATTGACTGCGAATTAACTGACGAAGAGGGGGAGAGATGGGGGATCATAAGAATGTTGCAGATCCTTGTGACCCTATGCTAGCCGATAAAAATTACACCTCTTTAAAAGTGAGCGTTGCATATTTTGAACAATATTGTGATTAGAAAAGTTGAGATTTAGCTAAATATGTAACAACAAGAAGCAAACGTCTCTTACATTCCTAATTTCACGTATTTTGTTATTGAAACAATTAATTAGAGATCGGACTCCGTGTGAAACAATTTAGGACAGGAGCAATTATGGTCGCAAATTCAAATCACTCGCCCGACTACTCCCTTTCTTACATCCGTTTTCAAATCACTTATGATCCTTGCAATCTGACTGGTTCTCACAAATCGCACCATTTTATGCTCTAAAACCCATTCTTTTCCCGGTCTGTGAGACAGCTTTACTAAAACACAACAACCAATCAAATTTCAAGGCTAGCTTTAGAAAAAAATTAGCGAAATTGCAGAAATGAGAGACGACTTTTTACTAACCAGCTCGTTATACTGGATTAGTATTAGTATTAGTACTTCATATACTAAAACAAAACTTGTATTTGCGGAAATTAATTTTGCTTTTTTAAAATAGATGTAATAAAGTGGTAATTAAACTAAGTGTCGTGCAATTTTTGTCTGAAATCATGTGGTTTCAAATCACGCTTATGATGGAATCACACATATGATTTCCGACTAAATTACACTCCACTCAGTCAGTTCAAATTCGATTATTAATTACACTCCTTTGTGGCTTAACCTAACTACTTGACCTACTGTGTCCGACAGATATAGACGAATGCCATGGGTCTTACGCCTGCACTTGCGCTTCTGGGTCAAATTCATGTGGACAGTTATGTCATAATACCGTTGGAGGTTATTATTGTACATGTAGAGAGGGTTATAAACTGCAGAGTAGCGCAGTGTGCACAGGTATGATAAAAATGATTTTAATCTATACGAAGTAGAATAACTGTAAAATTATACGCCGTTATCAATTGTACAAATGTACTTTCTGCAAAAATCTTATAAAAAAATTTCGGGAGAAGAATAAACATTGTATTTTGTTAACTATAAAAATTAATTCATCTTTAGTCACCGACTTGATGAAAATTTAATAGAACCCAAAACATAATATTTTTTACGTGTTAAAATTATCCCAGACAAATTATAAAAGTACAGGCTCAAATGGCACGTACCGAGAGTTGCCTATCAGTGTAACAATGATCTTAAATTGTTTACATTTATCGTAAGCTTGTATGATGTAGGGTAAAGGAAAAGAAAAAAAAATTGAAAAGATGAAACAAATAAAGTCGAAACAAAACAAAAACAAAACAAACAACATCAAGACCAAAAATTCCAAAGGTGATGGTATTTGCATAAAAGGTGCTTTTGTTGGTGCTATTATACATTTTACTCGAAATAAATGAATTCCTGATTAATTGTATGTGTTACGAATTGTAATTTAATTGTCCTCTTCATATTGCAGATATCAACGAGTGCGCCTTAAGTAATGGAGGCTGTAGTCACCAATGTGTGAACTCTCCTGGCTACTACAACTGTAACTGTCGAAGGGGTTTCCGCCTCGTTAACAGTAAATCTTGCAGAGGTATTTTTGCTAGTAAATTATGGAATAAAGTATTGGATTTAGGGCTCATCTAAGGGAAATTTCAGTAATCTTGTCAAATTTTTTTTTCCCTCGTAGATATAAACGAGTGTGCTGGCAACAACGGAAACTGCCAGCACAACTGTAGAAATCTGTTTGGCAGCCACCGCTGTAGCTGCGATGAGGGATTTAATCTACATAGCAATGGAAGAACTTGCTCAGGTACTACTAACCAAATAAAGATGACCATTAAAGAACACCTGACTTTAAACACTATAGCGGACGGTCAAGTCAGTGAGCATGAGAGCGATATGATTTTAAAGTAATGCATAGACGATATCATTAAGGAGCATCCATCTACATTTCACCCTGTATTATCCTGTTATCTACATAAACCCTCAGTGGATTCCGTATCCACTGTCTTATATCACAATGCACGTTTTGCTTTTACGTATCCAATTAGGAGCGTTGCCTGCTTTTGTCATGTTGCACATATTTTGCGCGCACGCAATGGTCGTGAGCGCGTATAAACCATACTCTTCCGGACTGAAGAAGATTTAACAACACTTAATTTCTTTCGGGTGTTTTAAAACGAATGTCTTGTCGGCTTCGTGCACTTGACCGATTCATTGAGAAAACAAGATCGTATCTCATTGTGAGATTTGTTTCATGAAAACAAATGAAAAATGGTTGCATACTATCAGTTTTGCACTAGAAAGAGCTTATGTAATCGGGAAGGATTCGGAGAACGATGCTTAATAGGATGATAGTTAAAGAAGATCTGGGAGCTAAGCTCCATGCTACCTGTGCTGTAAAAAACTGTGAGTGAAAATCCAATAGACGTATCTTATTACAACTTTGAGAGGAAGAGGATGGTGGGTACAAAATAGGACCAGTTTACTTTTCAAAACATTCTGCCCTCATTTTTAACTGTTTATTTTGTTATTCATTCTTGCTGTGCTTTTAAGACATTGACGAATGCAACACAGGCCATGACTGTCAAGAGATTTGCAGCAATACTCTTGGTGGATACAAGTGCTCTTGTAATGAGGGATATCAACTTACGACTGATAACAGAACATGCACAGGTATGTTTCCAAGTCAACTTCCCCTCTGAGATGAAAAACCTCGCAACTGAAAATGATATCATCTATTTGGCGCGTAAATATGATGACATATACTTTGTGGACATTTGCAAGAAGATAAAGTATTCCTTGAGCAAATCCCTTGAAAAAATGAGCTTCGACGAGTGGTTGATAGCTATTAGCGTGTTAACAAGCCAGAAGGAGGTTATACGTCGAGTTTATTTTTCTTCAAAACGTTCTTTAGCAGCGCGGAACAAAACGGCTCAGAAACAGTTTACCGTCTAAATTCAGCGCGACTTTTATATTGAACAAGGATTTCTCTTTTACGGTAACAACAGAAGCGTGCTCTCCAAAAGTGAAGAAAATCTCAGATGGAGACTTAAATCACATGGTCAGTTGAGATTTAAAAACTGGGTTGTATAACTTTGGAAATATGAAGATCTTATTCGTTAGTTTTACTTATAATACCAAGGGTTTTTTTTTTATCTCCATCATCACTTTGAGACGGTCGTTACGAATTGGAGAAAAATTTTATATACTAATGTCTCTTAGATATCGACGAGTGCACTTCTAGCAACATCACTGGGAGTAACGAAACAGTCACTCTTTCTGGTTGTTATCACATTTGTACGAACGTCATGGGAAGTTTTCGTTGTTCCTGTAGGAATGGGTATGTGCTGATGTACAACAAGAGACAGTGTAAAGGTTAGTGGTACAAATGTAACTACACAACGAGGAGTTGAAGGGATCTATTATTAAGTTCTCTTGTTTTTTTCTTTTTTAGCTATAAAAAGACAATGGCCGTTTTTATGCTAGAGACGTTAAAGTTGTCTAAGACGTTAAAGTCGTCTCGAGACGACTTTAACGTCTCTAGCATAAAAACGGCCAATGTCCATAGGTTTTCCACTAACTAAATTTTATCCCTTGGGGACCAATAACAAATGTTTCAGTTTTCTTTGACTTGCCTTTAGATATTGACGAATGCCAGACTGGAAACCATTCCTGTGACCATAACTGTCTCAACTCGGAGGGGAGCTACTTTTGTTCATGTAGACATGGCTACAAATTGTCATCAGACGGTAAAAAGTGCGAAGGTTCGTATTCAAGAGTGATGTAACTGTTTTCATCCTTTGCCGACTCACTAATTTAATACCTCACCTGTAGAACGAGAAGAAAATTTTTATAACATTTCGTTGCCACAGCTGAAACGTAATCATTATAGGAAAACGGAAACAATCAACCTCTTCCGACCGTTGAAGACATCGTTGCTATGTGAAGCATGCTTAATCTTTAATGCCTCATCTTTGCATGAGTGATTTCCTAACCCTTCCATCTGCGAAGCTTATCGGTGTCCAAGGGCTCAAGATCGATAACAAAACCCTTGAGTTTAATATCAAGTGATCCTTCGAGTTCATCTAATATATGTCTATGGTTTTAGTTTGTAATCTCGTTTGTACCTGGTGCATTCAACGAAATTTATAGCGTAATGAGGAGAGAAGAGTAGAGAATATTATCGTCGAGTAAACAAATTCATCGCTAAACGTTTTCTTAATGATTTTGCAGCTCAGCCCTGTGAGAAGATTGATACACCACTCAATGGTACAATGAATTGTTCAGGACTTGTTACTGATGCCTCTTGTTCATTTTCTTGCGATCCCGGGTATGATTTGGTTGGATCACAGTTTAGAACTTGTCTTCCTTTTTCAAGATGGAGTGGGAACTTGACTTTCTGCATAGGTAACTGCTATTATCTTTTCATCGAACTATCCGCCGATAGGCACCTCCGGTCCTTTTATTATCCAAGCAAATGGAACCATCATATACGCGTAATATCTTCAGTTTCTGCTATCTATAGTTTATTTGGCAAAGTCGATTAATTCTTGGATAAAGAGAGTCTTCTTTAGTGTGGCCATTGGAAAAAGCGATTTTATTATAACATGCCTTTGCAATAGGTTTTTGGTGAAACTGACATAAATCGGGTACCTTGGCTGCTCTCAATTAACAAAAAGATGTTGTGCTCTGTTCTGTTGTAGAGCATGCAGGAAGCGGCTAAGGGCACGAAAGAAGTGTAGCGAGACGTAGTCGAGTGTTTCTCCTCACTTCTTGAGCAAAGTCAAGGCTTCTCTATTTGTTTTATGACAAAAATACCGTTATATCTCCCACACATTACTTTTAATTTTCAAAACAAACTTTATTTCCAAAGAGAACAACAGTGCCGCTAGCATGCTCTATTTAACAAATACATTCCAAGTTGCCGTGCGTCTGTTCAGTAATAGATCACAGATGACGTCATAATGTGGCAAGAACAAAAAAGTGGCACACGAGACGCAGCCACTTACCACATTTTGACGTCCTCTGTGATCTGTTACTGAACAGACGTACGGCAACTTGGAATCTATTTGTTTTATATAATAAAGAATTAAAATATACGGGAAAAAACGTTTTAATGATGACATCATCTATACGTCTGTCCTCCAATAGATCATAAGTGAGAACCAATCAGAATGCGTGCATAACTGAGCTTATTATATAAACTCTTATAGAGCATGCTACAACAGGCCAATCAAAAACCTTATTAGAATGATTCAAATAGTTCGATTGGTTGAACAATACTAGAGCTGTCAAAATTGTCAAACCGTCAAAGTTCCCAATCTGCAATAGTTTACAAACTGAAATGGATCGGCAAGTCGAATTTAACGCTTTTGCTTGAAGTTTGTTTGGTCTCATACGGAATGTGAAAGTGAAATGTTCGGTAAAATCCGGCCGAATTGTGGATAATAAAACGAAATTTTTTCACAAGATAATTAGAAAAAACACTGTTCAAGGCGTGTGTTTTATGAATGAACGACGGCCGAACTCACAGAAGCATAAAGATTTTTCAGGATGACAGCGACGTAAAATTCGCCTGCTGTGACTGTTGTGGCCTTCCACTCAACGTATCTTAAACTACATCAGAGCAAGCTCTTAGCTGTTCAATCGAAGGGCGGCCGATGAAATTTCTGAAGCTTGCTTCACTGCGATGACCGGAGATGGCCATGATGAGCTAACCGCGATGGACCTGAGCATGATCACAGTCGCTCTGACACCGTCTTGATTAGTATGAATTTTAACAGTTATGCCAGTTTAGCTATATTTTTCATATTTTTCATCAATCCTGTCTTGCTCTGTTTTGTTTATAAACAAGAAACTTTATATACTAGACGAGTGTTAGCTGTGTTTGATTTTATTACCGTACGTAGGCTTGCAGTCTAACTGAACATGAAAACCTTCAAAACTTAGACTGTCCATTTCGTGTTCTCTATAAGGATTTTCGTCTCTGCTCAAGTTAAAATAGCGTAAATTACGGCACTTGGCATGTTCCCAAACCTTTGTATGGTTCTTCTGTTGCTACTTGCCACCTCACTTGTTGCGAAATTTCACACCCAATCAACGAAAAAAAGCTAGAGAGAAGTCTGAGGAAAGGTCAGCAGATGGTGTAACAGCTTTAGCTCAGCTCTTTGTTTCGTACTCTGATAAAGCACCCTCTTTCAAACTTTGACGGCGTGCGTTATATCCGAACTTTATTGTAAGAGTTAACTAAAATATTATCGAATACAATTAAATTTCAAGTATAACATGGTGCCGAAAAGTCCTGACAGCGCACAAACAAACAAATCTGGTCCAAAATCATTACTCACTGCTGCTTTTTTTCCTCTTTTAGTGAAACATTGTGAAAAGTTGACAATCCTAAAGAATCAAACCATTTTAGTTCCCTGTTTCACCTCCCTCGGTTCAACTTGCTATTTTGGATGTCGCCGAGGATTTTTCATGGATGGGGACAGACAAGCAAATTGCACCTTGAATTCCAAGGGTGACGGTGTTTCCTGGAAAATTGGAAAGTTCACTTGTAAAGGTAAATTTTTCACTAAAGTAAAACGACACTACATCTCTTTTTTTTCCTCAAAAAATAGGCGAGTAGGTGTTAAATAAATAGGAACGTAACAATCTTGCTTCAACTACAGTTCCTGCAGTGTTGAGTCGCTTACCAAACTGAACAAGTCTTGAAATGATCAGGCAATTAAAACGACGTTTAAGTGACTTAGTCCTTCAAATAGGTAAGAGCTTTTCTACGTCTCGGAACATCACTGCAGTAGTTAGCGATGTAATCTTAAGGTGTAATTTTTCAAAGTAGTCTTGGGTAATTGTATTATATTGTTTTACTGAGACCATGGGGGCAAAATTTCCGCCTTAGGACCCTAACTTTAATCTTGTATAATTGATGAATTACGCATATGATGTCCAAAAAAGTCTGTGTCTAGCGGAGATAGTTAAGGTGACATCTGTCCGAGCTTTGAATACATCTGAGTCCTACTGCTCTTGTTCTATTACTCTGACGAGGGGCTTGGGTTCGAAACATCGACCTTACAAACACTTTGCGGTGGCTAATTTACACTATCAACTCGGTAGATAAAAACCAATTATCTTGTTATCCCCCCATCCACGAAGCACCGCTGTATTTTTAGAAACTTATCTCCCATTTTCTTTGAGACATCCTCGCTGCCATTTATAACATCCTCAACTGTAAAACAGTCATGCACTATAAAGAATTTGGTTAAATTGTCGCATGCATTCGCTCCCCGTTTGCACATGTCTGCAACGTAAAGCAACGACGTTACATACAGAAAGGAGCTGTGGTCATTTGCAAATTAAAATGACCCCCCTACAAATCTGAAAGTAAATAGCGACGTCTATCGCTTCTAAATCCCTAGAGGGAAGATAAAGGTTGTATGAAATTAAGTGATCAAAATCCATCAGTAAGTAAAAGTGTGATAACTCTGTCTACTAAAATGCTGAAAAAAGACTCTTACAATCCAGCAAATAAAACCAAACCACTAAAAAAGCAAATACGATGGGTCATTAATTCGTTCTTTGACCCTTGTCGATGGCTTAACCTATTTCTTGACACATTATCGCAGGGATCAAGACTTGCCAGCCAAATCCATGTAGACATGGTGGGAAGTGTTACGCTCTGAACGAGAAGGACTATACCTGCAACTGCGATAATACTGGTTACAAGGGTGATCATTGTGAAACTGGGTACACTGTAACACCAATCTTTCCAAAGCTGCGCTCAAAAATCAAATCTGGTAGGCTTTTCTTCCTTGCAAGACCATTAAGACGCTTGACGGTAGAAATGTCCTCAGCAAAAGGAGTGACATTAGAGCCCCCATCCACTGTTTTCGATTCTTCTAGAACAATCGAACAATTTACTGTCGTCGCGGAAAAACCCGGAATCCGAGCAATCACCTATGGCCTTGAAGGGGAAAGTAAAAACGATTTTGAAATTCCTGAACCAAGCGTGTTTTTTACGGCGCCAGAAACGCCCTCGAATAACAGCTTAAGCAGACAGCTATTTCTTCCTAAGGGAGAACTACCCATTGGCTGCGAAGATTTTAACACAAAACTTTCTTGTGAAGTACGTCTGTCATCTACCGCACGGTGGACCAAGATTTCTTCCTCTACCGACGGCATTGTCCACATCAACTCTCCCAAAAACCAAGAAATTCCTCTTTCTCTGATCGGTTGGAATCTAGGAGATCGTTTCTCGCGGGATAAGATGATAGAGACCGGTGTAGCTGGGACCTCCTCGTTCAAAAAATATACTCTTTTGCTCGCACGAAATGGCACATGCCAGGCAAGACTAACAGACACAAACAGTCTTCTTGAACTCATACAGAATGATGCATTCGTGTCCTCGTTCATGGAGGCTCTTTCATCCGTAGCGCCAGAATGGCTTTCATTCTCTGTCGCAGAGAACAACAATATTTTCGACATTCAAAACATTGCTGCTAATCTGGCATCTGATCTGGAACACTGCACAGGATTTCCCTTTAATCAAGCTTCAAGTCTTGTCTACTACCGTCCTACTGTGAATTACAAAATGCGTGTGGCACAAGACGATGTTGCCTTGTTAGCTGATGGATCAACATGTTTTGCAATAAACGTCTGTGAACCTAGTTTGTTTGTCAACTTTCCCAAAGGGCAGGCTGATCTCATAATGAGTTCTCTTAATTTCTTCCGAGATATGCAAAACAGTGGGCTTAGTCTTCAGGTTGATTCGATTGGCCTCCATAAGAACAAGGAAACTGCACATTTTGTGAAGGGAATCATTTGGAATGGCAAAGAGCTTCAAGAACTGTCCCGTCTCCACTACCAAATGTGGCTAAAAAGGAAGTATTGACTGGAAAATGGAGATTCGTAAGACGCTACTCCTGTCATTTAGGATGAATGGGGATGCCATCATCAGATCCGAAAATATTGATAATGTAAGTAAGAAAAAGGTATGATTGTTTTGCAAATGTTATGGAAAGTAAGTGAATCCTGCCGTTTCTTACTTCCCTTTGAAACTTAAAAAATCTGTAAGGAGACAAGCGGTGCCTTTCTTTGCTTTGAGAAACATTTCTTCGGCTAATTAATGTAAATGTTTCCCGGCCATACTCATCGAAGAACTGATCTATAACAGTGGTCTGACATTTGGTTTATTTCTTAACAGCTATTTTACCACTTTTATGTCTGAAATGATGGACATCCAGTTACGAGGAGAAGTGACTTTGGACGTTACTGGAACAGCACTCAAAAGCAACTTTACTTTGAAAATTAGTTCTACTATAGCCATTGGAAAAGCTCTCCTCGGAGGTAGGGAATATAATTAGCAATGTTTTAAGCCGATTTCTGGCGTCTCCCGGCTAAGACTTTGTGATATCAATGTGACTCCTTTGTGATATCCATAAAGGTTTAGGAACAATTCCTAGCAAAGAAAGTGCACAGCTATTTTTTACTGTTATGTTTTTAGCGAATCTCAGATAAGGAAAACATTCGAGGAGCGTAGATTTATGCTTTACGTAATATCTTATACATCAATTTGGACAAAAAATGCTCTCTGACTAAACATAAAGCTGCACAAAAAAAGTGATATCATGTAGCAATAAGCCTTTATTTCTCAGCGCCGCCTTAGGAAGTTGAAATACTACATGTGGAGGAAAACTTGCGTAAAACTCGACTTTTGAGTCGGCCGCTGTATGCCCCACTACTGGCGAATTATTTTACATCTTTCGAAATTTTAATGTTCACAAATAGTCATAAACATCCATCTATGATAATATTTATCGGTTTATTGACAGTATTACAAGAGCAAAAAACCATTTTAAATCTATTCAACCACATCAAAAGACTAATGGTTGCTGTTCTTTAAATTTGTGTTGGATTTCGGTCAACGAATAGTGGCTTGTTGCGTAATGTGGGTGATGATATTAGAATTAAATTGTGTAATTCAATTCAATCGCACGAGTTATTTTATTCATGCGAAACACACACTAAGATTTTAAAGAGAAATTGGCTCGTGCATCTACATTTTTGAGACATGAAGCACATGAGAGGTTTGGATAGCACCTAAAAAAGCAATACTGGCTCTTCGCATTTTCCACCTGTTTGATATTTTCATTAATGCCCAATTTAAGCATGAGCCAATGTTAAATAATTTTTTCTCTGTTTTTTGTTAGGAAAGGCTGACTGTAGCAAGAACACCCGAGGCGTTTCTTTGACGTTGGAGAAATCCGCCGGCAACCTTCTGGATAAAAGCCCTCTTGGAACTTACATTCGGCCGAGAGGGACTGAACCAGTTCGTTTGGCAATACTTATGTCATTAGACGGGGGAAAGCTCACCGACATTGATAACGTCAATGAAGTTAAACAATTTCTTTACGGTATTATTTCACTATTGCCAGATCTGCAAAATTTCTTCGTCAAAGCCAAAGAGATTACTCTAGAGGGTAAAACCACACTTAAGAACTCCCTCCAAATGATTCTTAAACTAAACGCAACTATAGGTGAACTAAAAGAGGTGCTAGCAAAAGACATGGTAAACATTTCAGGGGCCTTGAACCTTCTTGACCACATAGAATATATGCTTAAATATTGCATAAGTATCACAAATGTTTTAAAAGACCAATACACCTTGTCAAACGATAAAGGAACTTATGCAGAGCTCTTGCACAGAATTGATAGGATTCATGCCAAATTTCCTAAAGAAGTGCGCTCCAATCTTAGTGGAAAACCCATCTACAAAACTTTTCATGGAATAAGTTTCTATTTTAGAGGTAATCTGTGCATGGGAAAGCTGTGCTTCAAGGATTTCACCACAACAGTTGACTAACTTTCAGAGAACAGTTGTGTTTCTAGTACAACACAAGCGTCAATGTTCCGTGGCAAAGGGAAAGGTTTACGGCAGATTGCACTAAGTAAAGACAACATATTAACACTTCTCATGGGACACGTAATTGAATTTATCTTTCCGAGAAACTCTAAGGCGGTGTCAGTTCATTTCGTGGGAAGAAGTAATCTTTTGGCCGTTAGCCAGCTCGTTAAAGTTTCATTAAATAAGAGCCAGCTGTCGTTTGAAATGCAAGGGAAGATATTTGATAAGTACGTGGCGAAAATGAATGTGGTGGCCATGATTGGCCATGCTACGGATTGGAGCTCCTTAGTCTTCACTGTTAACGGAAAAATGACGAATTCCTCTCAACTTTCAAAACTTCTTCAAAGTCAGGTGACGACCTTCGCCATTTTTTTGGCAGAAAGAGCTTTCAAACAAGTTGAAAGGTTTAAGAAATCGATACTGATTGCAGAAGAAAGCTTACAGGCTGCAAAAGAATTAGTTAAGAAGAAAAAGTCCATTCTGGATAAAGCGCTATTGGAAAAGCAACGGAAGCTCTCAAAATTTCAAAGAATAAGCGCTGCATACAGGAAAGCATCAGCAGAGCTTGAATCTCCCTTGGACCAGTTTTTGAATGTGAAGAACAGAAAAGTGTGCCGATTTTTATCATGCAACTTCATAAACTCGAACACTTACATTCCAGCGGTTTGTCAAAAGCCAGTCCTGGTAAATTACACATTCCCAGTTTGCCATAAAGTAAAGGAATCGCTGAAAGAGGAGGTTATTGTTTCAAAGGTGGTAGTGGAAACGAAAATGGTCCAAACTTACGTGGTTGAATCCCGAGGTGACTGCGGAAAAACACGTAAAATTCTGAGGGGAATCGGGGATGGGATGATGTTTGTTGGAGGAATACTTGAGTATCTCTCACCCGATATCGGCGCTGCTATAACGGTTGCTGGTTTTGTTTCAAAAGGGATTGGAGAGATAGCTGACGACATCACTGGCTGCAGTGATTACCAAGTAAATACACCTGGCCCGAAAGTTCCATATGCATATAGCGTAACAAAGTATTACCGTGGATACAGAGAAAAGGAAATCGAAAGGTTCGTTTGCGATGCGCAAAAGACGGAAACTGTTATTTCTGGTTATCTTCCGTATGAATGTCCTAAAACTGGAAGTATAAAAGTTCTAGACCCAAAGTGCGTCTCACACAACACAAATTGTTCCCTTGACATGGCAGACCTAACCGCTGAAATTGAGTTTGAGAACGAGACCATGTTCGGAGATTTCCAAAACATGGTAGCATATGGAAAACGTGCCACCCGTGCTCAACTGGAATCAAACAAGGCAGAAATAAAGTTTGACAGTGCTGTAAGACAGTTAGAGCTGGCTCGTGCACGGCTTCAGAGGTGCGAGTTTGCAAGAAAAGCCATTAACCTTGACAGAGTGAAACAGAGAGAAAATCTCGGACTAAAACTTGGCAAAAACATGGAGAAGCTTTCAAAAAAACCATTGATCTATGTAGAAAGTTTGGATTTTTCTGTGGCCATGACCTCGTCATCATCTAAAACGCGATTTCCCCTCACAGCGTACGTCAGGACATTTGCAGGCTGGAAAAAAGCAATTCAGTTCTCTATGGACTTCCATAATGAAGACGATTCACTGGCCTTAGCATCGAAACGTATTGTTGAGGAACTCTTTGGAACATCCCATTCAAAACGACGTAGGTCATTAAAAGAGGATATCCATCAACTCTGAAAGGAATGAAATCGACTTCCCAATTGAAAGACACGAATGTCATCTTTCCAAAGAAGCCAATATTCTATTCTCTGATATCGTTGATTCCATGGATTTTTCAATTAAAAGTAAAAGGGATATCGAAAAAGCCTTGATTTCGGGTATTAGAGGCATGGAGGACCTCTCTGGTGAAAATAAAAATGATGGGAATTCCTCTTACAGTAATATAATTCTTTCTTGTGGGGATGTACAGCCGAACAGCTCTGAAGCATTAACTTGGAGTGACATATTACATGATGCACGTGGATTTCTGAATATCTTGACCCAGAGGAAAAACTTTACATAGTGTTCAGGGATTCTTGATTGTGCTGACTTCTTCTTTGACAGCCTTGAAGAAATGTATAAAATGGAAAATCACCCCAGAGCAATCGAAATCAAGGAAGCGCTTCAGTCATTGAACAAGATCATCGGAAATATCCTGAGGGAGAACATTACGGAACATCTATTGGAAGGAAAACTATCACAAGCGAGGTTTTTTATTAACAGAAGCAGCGATGAGATGATACTTTGTGGTCAGAAACCCATAATTAAAAAGAGTTCCCCAGTGAAGGTTGTCACACTCCTTGGTGGAGATATTGATTTACTGTGTGAGGCTAAAAGTACTCTGGGAGTTGAATTCATGTGGATAAAAGATGGGCAGCCACTGGAAGGGGAAAATGGTACCATACTTGAGCTAAGAAATGTTACTGACCATAACGAAGGAGCTTACAAGTGTCGAGCTTCCAATACAAGAGGAAGTACAGTATCTAATGTCACCCTCCTGGTTGTGCATCAAAAACCACATATTGTCGAACACCCACCTGATAATCAGAAGCTCGTTGGTGATTAAAACATGTGGATGGTCTGCAACAGCACTGGTGTTCCACGGCCAACAACAGAGTGGTTCTTCATTCCGATGAGAGGGATGAGCCAGGATGTTGTTCGAATCAACGTGACTGGCCCAGTACTGAAAATGGGAAACTTGACCACAGAAAATGATGGCTTTTACTTCTGTAACGTGTCGAATTTGCGTGGTGCTGTTCAAAGTAGAATTGCAAGACTGGACGTTTCAAGATTCATTCCTGGCGTGCCTAGGATTGCTGTCATTTTCAAGCTGAAGCAGTGTCCGTCAACACCTTCTACAGGAGACAGTAGTTCACATTTTTGCACCGGCAGTGAAATAGAGAAATCTCTGCAGAATGATACTATGGCTCACCAACACATTTTTCAAAAGATCTTGAAGCACGTGGACTGGCCGCTGGAAAAAATACATGATGAGTATTACAAACCTTTTCCAAATGCTGTGATCTCTTTCGTCCTTCATGGTGACGACCCCATCACGCGAGAAGGAAAGAAATTCGAGGCGCTAAATGAATTCTCGCTCTCTAGGCAACGCATAGGAAACAGTTTAAAGAAGCTTTATTCTTCCCTAGTTGATGAAAAAGTGAAGATTCGTTGGGGTAACTTGACAATAATTGGCGACAAAGATAGCCTTGTAATGGGATTTCCTTCTCAAAAATGTCCAAACGGTACAAGACTCCATCAGAATGGTTATCTATGCGGTAAGGTTCATCTTCCATGTCAGTGAGTAGTAACATTATCTCTCAATTTAAATCAAAATCGTTAAATAGAAGAGAGGAATGAATGTTTTCCGCTTAGTTCTGATATCACATTTAAGAGGGAATTTGATTGATCCTCGGTTTATCGTCTTCTATTGAAAGACGGTACTTCAGCGAAACAGTAGGCTTTCTCTTTTGTTTATAGCGCATATATTGGTTATTTTTGTTAAACCTTGAGGGAAAATTTGATGAATGGTAAGTCTAAGACCCTTCTCAGCTAAAGGCTAACCGTTTCAGTGCACTTTCCACCTGGTCATTATGAAGTAGGAAACAGAACTTGCGAACCATGCCCTGTTGGCACATATTAGCCTGATGACGGGAGTACAGAATGTGTCAAGTGTCCTTACCGAGTTTCATCGACAGAGCCTGGAGCGGTTCGAGAATCTCAGTGCATCGATATATGTGAGTGCAACAGATAAACTTCTTATTTAGACCTTGTTAATCCAAATTTAGTTACACCTTTAGACTCAAGATATCTGGTCTCCCTGAATTAACGCTGCATGTAGGTCGTGTGATGTGTTACTTTTTTTATTTTGAAGAACGCTTAGGCCCCGCATCAGAGGTGAGAAATATTTATGGCACAACTGCTTATTTGCAGATTATCCTGAGCCGTCTAAAAACAGTGATTCAGAGGAGTCTTCATGCTACTTTTTAGTTCTGTTGAAACTTGTACCTTTTAGGATAAAGCACAGTTGCCTTGCTCATCTTTGGTGATAATCATAGCCTTTCCCTGAGGTGACAATTCAAGCTTGTCTGAGGGGTTACTAACTCAATGTCACTAGCAGGAAATTCCCTTTCTTTTCCTTGGCTGCTGAAGAAACTCGTTTAGACTTTTGCACACCAAGATATTATCAAAAGATAAAAGAGAAGGCTAAAAAGTATAGAAAATTAGTTATACACGTTTTAGAGAACCGATTCTTGTTGGTAGGAAGGCCTTGTAGGTAGATTACCGGGTTACACCGGTTTATACTGAACTATGCCAAGTTAGGTCACAATAAGACCACTCACAGGCTTACGGTGCCTTGTTGGTGTTGACAACGCAATTACAAGTGGCAAGCACTTTTTTAAAGAAGATTCGTAAATAATGCTTCAGGCGCTTCATAATTCTCAATGAAAGTTCTAGAAAAGTCATGAATGTGTTTGTTTTGAGTCAAGCCCTGAGATGAAAGGAAAAGGAAAATGAACTTTTCATAACTTTAATTTGTCATTCATCCTTTTCCCGCGTTTTAGGCCTATCACTTATGTTTACCTTAAGGAGACACTCCTTAACTTTCCCATGCTCTGACTAGCCATTGCGATTATTCACAGTTTTGTTCAGGGAAACTTGGTTGAAGAGCGCCCTGTTGGAACACCTAAACACAAGTTATGTCCTAGCTTGACCTTCAGAAAATTCTTAGTTGCCTACTTGAGATAATCATTTCCTCCCTGCTTTCTTTATCACTTAAATGCTAATCTACTGTCTGTTTTATTTTCTAGCCATACCCTGTACTAAACTGCCTCAAACCGACGTTGCACGAGCTCAGTTGCCAAAGAAGACAAAGGCTCTTTATCGTAGCGGTGAAACCTTTGACTTTGAATGTCAACCTGGGTATAAAGTCACAAGAAATGCAACTGCTGAGTGTAACGAAGGAAACTGGAGCAAGACTGACTTTTATTGTAAAAGTGTGTTTATATAAATAACGTTTTACAAACACTCTCTGTGCTGGTGGATACATCATCCTATCCATGTTAACACCTAGTGATTGTGATTGATTGCGCGGGGAGGGGTGGAAAGAGCGTTAATTCTTAAGTTGAACTACAGGTGGCATCTCTGTGGAAACTTGAACCCCGAATCCCAAAGACCTTAATTAAAACTTGTACCCAAAACTGGTAGAGAAAAAAAAAAGGCAATTGTATGTCACATAAAGTACACGTTTTGGAATAGGAAACGTACAACATCATTTTGAAACTACGGACCTCTTTAGACAACCGTTTTTGATTATTTTTCGAGGATTTATTTTCCTCCCTCCTAGTAAGTTATTTTTAATGCAAAACCGTTGATTTCTGTTTTGATGTAGAGACTTGCTATCCACCCTGGACCGAGCTGAAGAGGCGTTGCTACTTGGTGGTAGAGGCACAGGGCCACAGATGGGTAAACGCGCTGGGCAAGTGTCTGAAGCTCAAGACCGAGATGGTGATGATATCCTCAGAGGAGGAAAATCAATTTGTCAAACAGCTTGCTCAGGTATTGACTTTGCTGAGAGTTGAGAGGTGAACAAAGAACAGAATATTCTGTGCGTGTATGACAAATCCACGCGGTTCTTTTTAGTGCTCTTTTTTGTAAAATCAACGTAAACTAAAGTAAATTAAAAAAGAGGGCGTTCGTCATATAATAAATCCTTTTTCCCGCTCCAAGTAAAATAGATAGGACAATTCATCACAACCACGCGGGCCGAAACCTGTTGTTGTGCTCACCTATTTATTCGATTAAGAAATAGTACTTACCCAGGACAACGACCTTTGTTGAACCAAAGAACTTGACTATCTCGACCAAATTAAGATACCAATGAGGAATAAATGCAAACAGTTACAGAAAACTAACTTAATTCATTTTTATTGTATTAGGAAAAAATTTAAATACGGCCTCTTCATGCTAAAAAAAGGATAGTACGTTTTGAGCTAGGCCATCGAATAAAGAAAGTTATGGTTCTAACTAAGCAAAATAGTCTGCTGGATTGATGCATTAGCGTCCAAACTCCATGTCTCTTCCTGAGCTGAAGTATCCACTAACACGACGCCAAATGACATAAATATCAATTTCAGGTTTACCTTAAAGAGAAGAGATGGACCCGAGCTCAGATGTAGCTTGGGCTGAGGAAGACACACGCTACTGGTAATTTCCTATGGGCTGATGGGAGCCCGTTAAAGGGATACACTAACTGGATCCCTGGAGAACCAAATAACGCCAGAGGTCAAGAACTGCGTACCGAGATTTTGGTCTCTGGTAAATACAGGTTGGGCGAGTGGAGTGGTATGAAATGCCACGTAGCCCGTCACAAACCTATCACAGTTTGAGAGAAAGAGGGAGAATAAAAGTAACAAATCAGTTATTTCCCGAAATCCTTTAGATATGCTTGGCTGATTATTCCTCTAGTTGCGCTGTGCTTATAACAAGTAATTGTCGTTAAACGGGAAGATTGATAGCTGTGAAACTGTGTGCGTATTACATATCAATAACTCATTTATCTTGGTTTTGTCAGGAAAACTAAATTACAAAGTGTATTGAAAACAAATAGTTGATCTTCTCTAACTCTCTTCACGGCCTTATATTAATTCTTATAAGAATTGATATCCTCTCTCACCATGAGAAAATAGCTTTGTTACCTTAGTTAAAAACTTATAATAAGAAGTAACATACTTTACCTTCCTAGTAAATTCGGTATGGAATATTGTTTTCCGGCTTTCCTTTCCATTACTTTGCGTTTATTTCCTTTTATTAAGTATTCGGCTTAGCATTTGTCCCTCCTTCTCCAACCTTAAGTTTTGGTTAATTCTTAATTCATTTAAACATCTTCACCATCACTTTCCTTTAGAGTTCAGTTTCAAAGTTTCTTTTGTTCTAACATCTCTAAGTTTATGTTACTTCTGCCAGATCTTAAACCAGATTGTTCGAAAACCAGAGAAGAAGGTCACTTTGTAGAGAGTAAAGGTTTGCGAAGGGTAAATGACTTTTTTTTTTTGATGCAAGGTCTTCTCAATTGAGATTAGGTGGGAGTTACATAGCGAATGAAGGAAGTAATTTGACATTGGCATGGGCGGGAACACTGGTTCCAGAGAAGATTGAAATTGTGATTGAAGTTAGCAGTTGTAAGTAAGTTAAGAGTCCGTTTAATAAAGAAAGATCACCTTAAAAGAATGTCGAATAAGAAACACTTTTTAGCATATTTTGAAGCTTTGAAAAAGTTACTAGTTGCCTTGACGTGAATAGAATTGGCTGCGTTTCAATGTCGACAAAGGCTCTTTGGCCGATTAAAGTAACGGAAAATTCTGACGAAGCAAACGAAAAGAGTTATCATACATGGTACATAAAGAATCATCTCAGGTAAATCATGAAATTAGTGAGTCTATTGGTGAGCACCATCGCCTACAGACCGTCAGGCCTTGTTTACCCTTGGAAGAGGGTAAACACGATAGGCTCTATGCAATGATTTTTTGTGTTTGATTCAGGTTTTGATACCTGCATATCACTCTTTTAGTTTTGCATGTGTTTATAATGGAAAGAACAAAAAAACAATTTTGATTATGATCAGCCTTGTCAATGGAAGCTTCATAAAAAAAAGAAGTTTTTTGAGCGTTTGATTAAAAAATTCAGATGACAACACATTTGCTAAAGTCACATTCGGCTAGGAATCCTTTTTGAATCTACAGAAAAACCGTAGATGATAATGTAACTCTAACAAAAAGAACAATAGTGATCCTGGTCATGATCAACTTTTGACATTATGAACCCAAAGGATCTTTTGAATAACGCTAGTTACTACAGGATTGCAAAATATTTCCCTTACTTCTTACATATTGAGCTTACTGTACATCCCTGAGTTTCGTGAATCCATCCTCTTAGCAATTTGTTGTAACCGTCTCACACAACGTCTGATACAAATAATCCCAGCAGCCATCTTATGGTATGGTGATGGTGAAGAAAAAAAAATGCAGCTGATAATCAAAGATATGTAACGATTCGATAAATTATGAAATTAAGGAAATCGTGGATGAGGTATCTCAATAACTCTATAGATCACCAATCTTTTCCCTTTTCAATCCTTTACCAAAAACCCTCGGTTTGATTTAATAATGGCTTTACTTATTAGGGAAGCCTTCTCTCACAATCCCCTTACTACAAATCTGCATAGAAAATCACCAAATGACTGACTGATAGCTTGTCAAACGCGACCTTATTTATTACGAAGCCTGTTAAAACCTGCAGGGGCTTTCAGATGAAGACGAAGGGTTAATCATAGTACCATTGGGTAAGAGAGGGATCACATTTGATAATACTTTGGCTATCCTGGAGATCTGGAGCAAGTTCCGAAAATAAACTCATTAAAGTGACATAGACTGTCCGCTTCCTTGTGAAGCAGTTCCGAGAACCTTGCGTGATACAGCGTTGCCAAATATATAACGATGTCCATGTGTTTAAGCGTTTAAGAGACACCTCACTCAGAACATATACTAACTTGTTTAAAGAAAACACTAAAGCGCTCAGTAACTGATGATTCTTGATATCTTGAGGTAACTTTAAGCGGAAAATATTATTCTAGCCATTTGACTCCAAGGATTAATCATAACATCAAAATATTAATACTTAATCATATTTGCAAAGGTCACGAGAATTAAGAAACTGATCACCAAAGAGGAACTGCACTGATTTTTACAAATTCTCGGGATTTCTCATGCGAAAATGTAAGTAAACCTTTGCGATGGATTGATGTGTCGATCACTGTGCTTGAGTAGGGAGATATGAGAGGGGAAGCGTACTCTATTAGGAATAAAAAAAAAATTCGTTATCTGAAATTAAGCCGACCCTATATAACTAGAACTTCTGCCCTCACTCGAATAAATTTGTGATTGTGAGAAACTGCCTATTAGTACAATTTTACCAAATCGTTTTACCAGATCGAACAAGTCAAAACAAGGAATTAATTTAGCTGTAGTCCCAAACGATATATCTATTCTGAAAAAGCCGCATTTTTTATCAATTCCGGCATCAAACAATATGCTTATCCAGTCGATTTAAGATTTGCTGTTTTCTTTGGCTTAAGTATCATCAAATATGATACCACTCTTACCCAGTCAACCCTTCATTTCTATCTGGGAGTCTTCCATGGTTTCCGAGAAAGCTATGTAAACCCCGCTGCGTCTGAGGCTTGCATAATTTTCGCGGATTATCCCAAACCCCCTTGTTTACAAGAATTCATTTAAAGAAACTGAAAAATCCTTTATAGCTGAAGTCAAAACTCACCGACCATAAGGATTCGAGTTAGCGCCCAACGCTTATTTACTTTCGTGACCTTACGGGAGGGCGCTTATTCGAGACAGGCTGCTGATTATTTTTATTAAAATGGTCAAACTAGATGAACATTTTTTTTAATCTTCAAGAGAGAAGTAAAAAAAAATGAACAATGGTTGATCCAAATGTCCATGTATGCAAACAGTGCAATCAGTGAAACAGAGTAAGGGCGCTGATTGGAGTGGGACTGTCTATTTAATATGGGCGCTTATAAAAATAAGAGAGCTTACTAATAAAATCAAATTCGAGGAGGGCGCTTATGAGAGAGGAAGCGCTAATTGGAACGTGGGCGATTAATCGAAAAATTACTGTAAGCCTGAATAAAAGGTTTAAAGTCTTGTATTGAGCGTATCATGTTTACCCTAATTACAAGACCATAGGCGGTAGGCCATGATGTTAGCGGGTCTTTATCGAAGTGCTCGCAATTTTCGCTTTGTATTTGAGTTTACCGTTTTTATCTTTATGCACATTGTATGTTAACCCTTTTTGTTTGTTTAATCAGGATGTTTTGCTGTTTTCGTTGGCCGAACAGAGAGCCTTGGTCTACATTGAAACGCAGCCAATTCTATTCGCGACAAGGTTACGAGTAACTTTTTCAAAGCTTCAAAATATTGCTTAAAAGTGTTTCTTATTCGAAATTCTTTTATAGTGATCTAACTTTATTAAACAGATTCTTAACTTAATTACAACTGCCAACTTAAATCACAAACTCAATCTTCTCTGGAACAAGTGTTCCCGCCCATGCCAAGGTGATGACAGTAGCCAAGCTGTCAAATTAATTCTTTCATTCGCTAGGTAACACCCATCTAATCTCAATTGAGAAGACCTTGTAACAAAAAAGTCCTTTACCCTTCGTAAACTTTTTCTCTCCACAAAGTGGCTTCCACTGATTTTTGGACAGTTTGAGTTAAGATCTGGCTAAAATAAAGTAAACTTAAAGATATTAGAACTGAAAGAAACATATATGCCGGATTAAAACTGAACTCTGAAGAGAGGTGATGGCTGAAGATTTTAAATGAATTTTAAACTTAACCAAAAATTTTGGCAAAAGGAGACGAACACAAATTAAGTGTCGTCCTCTTTTATAAATCGAGAAGCTAAGTGCTCTTAAAACGAGATTGCATATCACAAATTTCATCCGGGATAAGTTAAAAAAAAAATATATATATATATATCTTAATTGCTTACTCGTGCAGCCACCACGAAAAAAAGTGCTAAACTGCACTGATTTTACACTTATACATTTCTGATGGTGATAGAATATATTAACTGATCTGTAAAGTAAAATGTAAAGGGAAGGTCAACTTGTCTATTTCTGAATTAGCGTAAGCAATCACAATCAATAAAATTGTATTTTTATGACAAGTATGCTAAATGCGCACACCTCCTTTGCTTTTTATCTTCCCGCACAGCTACAGAACTAATCAGCAAAATGTATCTTAAAAATTGCGGAAAGCAACTAAATCAGTACTTTTACTCTGCTTGTCGGAGGGGTTTCTCACAGACCATAAGAGGTTTGTAATGGACTATGTTGCAATTCACGTCGTTCCACTTGCCCAACCGGTATTTACCAGAGACCAAAATCTCGGTACACAGTTCTTGACCTCTCGCGTTGTTCGGTTCTCCAGGGATCCAGTTAGTGTATCCCTTTAAAGGACTCCCATCAACCCATAGAAAATTACCAATGGCGTGCATCTTCCTTAGCCCGAGCCACATCTGAGCTTGGGTCCATTTCTTCTCTCTAAGATAAACCTGAAATTTGGCCTCATGTCAGTGGAAACTAAGCCGCAGAGTTTAATCACTACTGCCTTAATCAAACGTTCGAACCATACATTTCTTACTTCGACGACCGAGTTCAAAGTTATAATCTTTTAGAATCTTTTATAGAAGTCGTATATTTTCGCAAAAACTTTACAAATAAAATTAAATAAGTCAAAATATTTCTCTGTAACTTTGGAACTCATTGACTATGGATTTAGTTTTCACTCGTTATTTACTTTAATTCAGTTATTTTACTTCTTTGGTTCAACAAGGGTAAGTATCTCGGGTCAAACTTTTCTATTTGCTTAATAAATAGTTTGTTTATGACACCATGTGTCGGTTTATGTAGTTTTAATGAATTATCCTATTCATTTCAATTGAAAAAGCGCGGGAAAGGATCAGTGATATGGCAAAGCCCTCTCTTCATAGGTGCTTAAGCTTACATTGATTTCCGCGGAAAAGAACACTGAAAGGAACAGCCTTGAATTTGTCATGCACGTACACGTTACTATGCCACTGCGCATGCCAATACATTAGAAAAAAACCAATACCTTAGAAAGCTGTTTGACAAATTCGTTTTCCTCCTCTGAGGATATGATGACCATCTGTGAATTGAGGCTTAGACATTGGCTCAGTGCGTCCATCCAACGGTGGCCCTGTGCCTCTACCACCAAGTAGCAATGCTTCTTTAGCTCAGTCCAGGGTGGATAGCAAGTCTCTGCATTAAAAAGGAAATCAAGAGTCTTGCATTAACAATCATTCCACATGCAAGAGGGAGTAAATTTAGTTCTCGAAAAAAAAACCAAAAATAGTTGTCTTAAGAGATTCACAGTTACAAAAGGATATCATGCATTTCCCATTCCTTATGAAATATTAAGTCGTCCTTTTTTCCCTACCGAAATTATGGGTGAGAGTTCTAAAGGTTTTGTTAGGCTCGGGTTCAAATATTCCCCGTGATGTTACCTTAGGTCCAACTTAAGCTATTATCTTGCCATCCATTCTCCCGCCGTCAACCACAAGAGGGGTTAGGTTTTGACAAAATGTATAAGGTGAATGCACCAGTACAGACGATATTTGATAAACTTAATTTGAATGAACTCACCTTCACAGTGAAAGTCAGACTTGGTCCAGTTTCCTTCTTTACACTCTGTTGTTGCATTTCCTTGGACTTTGTACCCACGCTGACATTCAAATTCAAAGGTTTGACCGCTACGATAGAGAGTTTTTGTGCTATTTGGCAGTTGAGCATGGACGACGTCTATTTTAGGAGGCTTGGTGCATGGTTTGGCTGAATAAAAGAGCAGATAACACAGTACTGTATAAAAAAGTGAGAAGACTAGGAGGTGTGAATTTTACGCAGACAACTGCGTGTTGCTTCAAGGTAAACTTGTGTCCAATTTCGAGTTTGGGTGTTGATAGTTTGGTGCTCTTTGATAAATTTTCCTTAAAACAAACTCTAAGCAATAATACCTGGGCGACAAGATGCAGATACCTTGAGCCTAAGGAAGGATTAACTACTATTAGAAACTTATCTCTTGTGCTCACATATATCGATGCAGAGAGATTCTCGTGCCGCTCCAGGCTCTGTATATGAAACTCGATGAGGGCACTTGACACATTTTGTGCTCCCGTCATCAGGCTGATATGTGCCAACAGGGCATGGTTCACAAGTTCTATTTCCGATTTCGTAGTAACCAGGTGGACAATACACTGAAATGTATTAAGGTGAGTACTATTCATAAGTTAGCAGTTACTAACTGAGTAAACTGTCCAATTAATCTGTTTATATCTCCCAATATATTCAATAAACATTGCTTGACGTGGCACTGGACGATCCCCACAATTTTAGTGGAGGAACCTGCCATTTTTAATAGACAGAGAGTGTGCCACGAAGAAGTTGAAAATCATAATTTCAAAACCAAAGCAATAAATAAAACAAAGGCCTATAAAATAGAGGAGCTTAATATCCCACTTAAATACCGTTTTTCAATAAAAGATGGAAAATGATGATCAGTCAAATTTTTTAAAAAAATAAAAAATTGCAAGAGTCATTTTGATAATTTTTCGATTTTCAGTTTTTTGAATTTTCAATCTTACCGCATAAATACCCATCTTCATGAGTTCTCGTGCCACTTGGACATTTTTGTGAAGGAAATTCGACAACAAGGCCATCCTCGTCACCAGTTATTGTCAAGTTTCCCCAACGCGTCTTCACCTTTTCGTCCTTTAGAGAAGCATAAAGCCTCTCTATACTGTTTCCTATGCGTATTCTAGAAAGTGAGAATTCATTGAGTGCTTCGAGTTTCTTTCCCTCTGGTGTGATAGGATCTTCGCCGTGAAGAACGAACGAGATCACAGCAGCTGGAAATGGTGTGTAATACTCATCATGTGTTTTTTTCACTGGCCAACTCATTTGCTCCAAAATTTTTTGAGTAATATGTCGGTAGCCCATGGTATCTATCTGTTGGAATTTGTCTATTTTATTTCCTTTGCAATTATCTAAGCTGCTGTTTACAACAGAGGGCGTGGAAATGCACTGCTTTAGTTTTACACTGAGAGCAATTCTAGGTACGCCCGGGATGAATCTTGAAATGTCCAGTCGTGCAATTCTACTTTGAACAGCACCATGTAAATTAGACACGTTGCAGTAATAAAAGCCAGCATTTTCTGTCGTCGGATTTCCTATTTCTAGAACTGGACCCGTCACGTTGAGCCGAACAGCATACTGGCCCATCCCTTTCATTGGAGTAAAAAACCACTCTGTTGATGGCCTTGGAACGCCAGTGCTGTTGCAGACCATCCACACATTTTCATCGCCAACGAGCTTCTGATTATCAAATGGGTGTTCGGTAATATGTGGTTTTTGATGCACAACCAGGATGGTGACATTAGATACTGTACTCCCTCTTGTATTGGAAGCGTGACACTTGTAGGCTCCTTCACTATGTTCGGTGACACTTCTTAGCTCAAGTATGGTCCCATTTTCTCCTTCTAGAAGCTCTCCGTTCTTCGTCCACATGTATTCAACTTCCAGAGTGCTTTCAACCTCACACACAAAATCAATATCTCCGCCAAGAAGCGTGACAACTTTCGCAGGAGAATTCTTCTTGATTGTGGGTTTCTGACCACAAAGTATCATCTCATCATTGCTTCCACTAATGAAAAACCTCGCTTGCGATAGCTTCCTTTCCAACAATGACACAGTAATATTCTCCCTCAAAATACTGCTAATTATCTTGTTTAAAGACCGAAGCGCTTCTTTTATTTTAATGGCTCTGGGGTGATTTTCCATTTCATACATTTCTTGTAGGCTGTCAAAGAAGAAGTCCACACAATCAAGAATCCCTGAGCATTGCGTAAAGTTCTTCTTCTGCGTCAAGAAATCGAGAAATCCACGTGCATCATTTAATATGTCACTCCAAGACGTTGCTCCTGAGGTGTTAAGCTGAGCATCCTTGAGAAACCGTCTCATATCGCTGTAAGAGGTGTTCCCATCGTTGTTGTTGTAATAATCGAGCTCTTCTATTCGTCTGTTGCCTGCAAAAACAGCTTGATCAATTTCCCTTTTACTTTTGATTGAAAAATCCATGGACTCAACGATATCAGAGAATATAATGTTGGCCTCTTTAGAAAGATGACATTCGTGTCCTTCAACAGAGAAGTTGGTGTCATTTGTTTTGGAGACGATGGGTTCCTCTCTTACTGACCTACGTCTTCTTCCGTTTGATGTTCCAAAGAGCGTCTCAATAATACGTTTTGATGCTAAGGCCAGAGAACCTTGTTCGTTTCTAAAGTCCATTGGAAACTGAATTTCTTTTTGTGAGCCTTCGAATGTTCTGACGTAAGCTGTGAGGGGAAATCGCGTTTTCGTTGATGACGAGCTCAGGGCCACAAGGAAAGCAAGACTCTCTACGTAGATCAATGGTTTTCCTTTACGCTTTTTCATGTTTTTACCAAGTTTTAGTCCCAGTTTTTCCCTCTGTTTCACCGTGTTGAGATTAATGGCTTTTCGAGTAAACTCACGCTGCTGAAGCCGTGCACGAGCCAGCTCTAACTGCCATACAGCACTGTCAAACTTTATTTCTGCCTTATTCAGATCCAACTGAGCAAGGGTGGACTGTTTTCCTTTCGTGAGCATATCTTGAAAATCCACGAACATGGTATCATTTTCAAACTCGATTTCAGCGGCGAGGTTGTCCAATTCAAATGAGCAATTTGTGTTGTGCGAAACGCACGCTGGATCTAGAACCTTTATACTTCCATTTTTAGGACACTCATACATGAGATAACCAGAAACCACAGTTTCCGTCTTTACTGCATCGCAAATAAACCTTTCGATTTCCTTCGTTTTGTATTCGCGGAAGTTCTTTGTTACATGATGTACGAATGGAATTTTAGGGCCGGGTACTTTCATTTGATAACTATCGCAGCCAAATAAAAACTTTTTTACCTTTCCAAAAATATTCCCAGATTTCCCACAGTTACCACCTTCTGTGACTATAGAAGTTTGGACCATTTCGATTTCCTTCACCACTTTTGAAACAATGACTTCTTCTTTCAGCGTTTCCTTTACTTTACGGCAAACGGGGACGGTGTAATTCACAAACACTGGCTTTTGACAAACCGCTGGTATATAAGTGTTGGCATCGATAAAGTCACAGGATAAAAACTGGCATGTTTTTCTGTTCTTTACTTTCAAAAACTGATCCAAGGAAGACTCAAGCTCTATTGATGCTTTCCCATATGCCGCGCTTAATCTTTGGAATCTGGAAAGCCTCCGTCGCTTTTCTAATGACGCTTCATCGACAATTGCCTTTTTCTTCTTCATCAACTCCTTTGCATTCTTCAGCCTTTCTTCAGCACTCAAAATCGATCTCTCACACCTTTCAATTCGTTTGGCAGCTTTTTCTGCTAAGAAACTGGCGAAGGTCGTCACTTGACTTTGGAGAAGATTTGAAAGTTGTGAAGAATTTGACATTCGTCCGTTAACTGCAAAGATTAAGGAGCTCCAATCTGTAGCATGACCAATCTTTGCCACCACATCCATGTTCGCCATATATCTATCAAATATCTTCCCTTGCATTTCAAACGACAGCTGATTCTCATTTAATGAAACTTCAACGTGCTGAATAACGGCCAAAACACTACTTCTTCCTACGAAATGAGCTGACACAGTCTCAGAGTCTCTCGGAAAGATGAAATCAATGAAGTTTCCCATAGGGAGTGTCAATATGTTGTCTTTACTTAGAGCCATCTGCACTAAGGCTTCCCCTCTGCCTCTGAACACTGATGTATGTGGTGTGTTAGAAACACAGTTTCTCTCTGTAAGGTAGTCAACTGTTGTGCCTAAATCCTTAAGACACAGATGTTTCATGCAAATATTACCTCTGAAATAGAAGCTTATTCCGTTAAAGGTTTGGTCAATTGGTTCTCCGTCAAGATTGGGACGTAATTGTTGAGGAAATCTTGCCTGAATCCCATCAATTCTGGTCGAAAGCTCTGCATATTTTCCTTTGTTGCTTGAGGAGGGAATATGGTCTATGATGACATCTGTGATGCTTATTAAGTATTTTAAATTATTTTCTATGCGGTTAAGGAGAGTCAGACCTCGTGTAACTTCCATTGTGTCTCCAGTTATCATCTTTTCCAGTTCGTTTACGGAAACGTTCGTTTCCGAAAAAATATCTAAAGATTTTTGCAGAGCAATTTCACCATGTGGCATAACTTCTTTGGCTTTCATGACAACATCTTCCAGATCAGGTATTAGGGAAATAATGCTGGAAAGAAAGCTTTTAACTTCACCCATGTTGACAATTGTGTTTTGCATTCCTCCGCTCACTGACATGAGCATTGCCAAACGAACAGGTTGATTCTCTATTGGCCGAATGTGAGTTGCAAAAGGGCTTTCATTCAAAAAGTTGCTGGCAGATTTCTCTAGTTCTAAGAAGATGCCTCGAACATTCTTGCTGCATTCACCTTTTCCTTAGAAAACCGAAAAAAAAGAATCATGCTTAATTATCGGTTTATGTATCAGCATTTAGTCATCGAAATATGAACCACGCGGAACGTTTGGAGTGCCCAAAAGAAATGTGTTAGAAAATCTAGCTTCATTTGTTCTATCAAGACCTCGTTGGATACACAGCTGAATAGAAATGCCTTCTGCTATCAATAGCATATGTGGCATGACAGGAAATGAATGTTCGAAAAATAACAGCAATTGCCTAGCAAGGTACTAAATTCGCCGATTTCGATGATTTAAATGTGACGCGTGCGGATATTTCACGAGTTCTGTAGTTTCTTTCTGATACCCGTAGAAATTTGGACAAATACAAGCACGGGTTTCAATAACTTTTTCGATATGCAGCTGCTGATGATGCGATAGACAGCTTCTCTCCTGAGGGAAGCTGGGGGTACGCAAGACAAACTGCAGTAAGAAGTCTTATACCACCCTTAACCGGCCTCTATAGAAACCCCTTATCAAGCAATAGGAAAAAGCTCACTCTTTCAAAGATAACAGCTCTTGGTCGCATCGATCGACATTTTTTCTGAATTGATGGCTCAGATATAAGTTACATTTTGCATTACTGTTCTTCGCTTTATCTCGTGTTTCTTTAAAAAAATTAAAATCATATTTGCAGACTATGAAATTTCCTACCTCCCAGGAGAGCTTTTCCACTTGCTTTGATTGAACCAAGTTTCAAGATAAAGTCTTTCCTGAGTGCTCTTCCAGAAACATTCAGAGATGCTTCTCCTCTTAATTGCATGTCCATCCGTTGTGACATGAGAATGGTAAATAGCTGTTTAGTTATGTATAAAAAAATCAAAGGTTTGTTTAGCTCTTAACATAACAGTGGTTTAGCCGAAAATCAAGTCAGAATTCACTTCAGTAATGAAATTAACAAAACAAAAATATATTTTTTATATACTTACACTGTCCATATGTTCGGTTCTGATGATGGCATCCCCCCTCATCCTAAATGACAAGAGAAGGAGCTTCGGAACCCCAAATTTCCAGTTCAGGTTTCCTTTTAGCCACATATTGAAGGGGAGCGGGGACAATTTTTGTAACTTCTTGCCATTCCAAATAATTCCATTTACAAAACGAATAGTTTCCTTGTCTCTATGAAGGCCAATAGAATCCACCTGAAGACTGAGCCCATTATCCTGCATGTCTCGGAAAATATTCAGAGAACTCTTTAAAAGATAGGCAGGCCCCTCGGAAAGGCTGACAAACAAACCAGGGTTGCAAATGTTAATTGCAAAGCAGGTGGTTCCATCTGCGAATAAAGAAACATCAGTTTGTGCAACTCGAATTTTGAAACTCACAACAGGACGGTAATAGACGAGACTTGATGCTCGATTTAAGGGAAATCCTAAGCAGTGTTCCAAACCAGATGTTAGACTAGCAGCAATGTTCTGAATGTCAAAAGCGTTGTTGTTCTCGTCGACAGAGAATGAAAGCCATTCTGGTGCCATCAATGAAAGAGCCTCCATAAACGAAGACAGGAATGCGTCATTCTGTATGAGTTCAAGTAGACTGTTCGAGTCTGTAACTCTCGCTTGGCATGTTCCATTTCGTGAAAGCAAAAGTGCGTATTTTTTGGTAGACGAAGTCATGGAAATACCAGCCTCGATCATCTTATCCCGCGAGACGCCATCCCTTGGATTTAAACCGATTAACGAGAGAGGAATATTTTGGTTGTTGGAAGCGGTGATATGCACAATGCCACTGGTAGAGAAAGGATTCCTAGTCCACGGTGTGGTAGATAATAGGCGTACTTCACATGAAAGTTTTGTCTGATTTTCCTCGCAGCCAATGGGTAGCTCACCTTTGCGAAGGAACACTTTTGTGCTGAGGCTGTCATTAAGGGACATTTTTGGGGCACTGAATAACACGCCTGGTGCTGGAGCTTCAAAATCGTTCTTACTTTCACCCTCAAGATCGTATGTGATCCTTCGGATTCCTGGTTTTTCCGCTAATACTGTAAATCCGTCCATTGTATTTGAAGGGTCAAAGACCGCTGATTGTGGCTGAAATGCAACTTCTTTCTCGGATGTTAATACTACTCTGAGGCGTCTCGATGGTCGTGCTAGAAGGAAAAGCCTCCTGGATTTCTTTTTAGTTAGTAGTTTAGGAAAGATCGGTGTCACGACATGCCCAGTTTCACAATGACTTCCTTTATATCCAGTGCCTTTACAATCGCAGGTGTAGTCCTTTTCGTTCAACGTTGAACATTTTCCTCCTTTTCTGCATGGATTTGGCTGGCAAGTCTTGATCCCTGTGGCAACAAAAAAATAATAAATAGTGAATGATTCATTCGAATTGGTTCGACAAGTTTTGCGGATTTTGAATTTTGTAAGTTACGTTTGTCTGTCTGTAGCTATTTGTTTTTCTTTTTTTTTCTGCTTTTGATATTTTAGATAATCAGTTTTTTTAGTGAATACAGAATTTGTATGACGCACGAAATTTACATAAATCTGTACATGACAAATACTTTATACATTTCCCCAAGAGACCCATAAATCAAAAGAATTCGATGTCAGCTCCCTAAAAGCGTGTGGGTGTTTAAGTCATCTCATTAACATGCCACAGCTGATTCTCATTTTTTTTTTCTTTTTTGTTCTACCTTGAAACTTACTTTTACAAGAAAACCTCCCAAAGTTCCAAGAAACGTCGTCACCCTTGGAATTGAGGCTACAATTGGCTTCTCCATCTCCCACCAAGAAAAATCCACGACGACATCCAAAATGGCAAGTTGAGCCAAGGGAGGTAAAACAAGGCATTGAAATAGTTTGATTCCCACGGGCGGTCAGCGTCTTGCAATGTTTTGCTAAGGGAGAGGAAAAATATGGGTTAGTTCTTGGAACTGCAGGATTAGTTTGCTTTTAGATTGGATTATCATAGTATGACATACATCGGTATACGGTTCAATTACCCAAAATTAAGTCCAAATTCGGACGTAAGTAGCTAATTGAATCACTCACAGCTCCAACACCTCAAAAATCTGAGCGCTTTCTGAATTTCAGCCACCAAACATGTATGGCTTAGGCGTGGGATAACGTTCATACACCATTCAGGGGCTGAGCAAATTTGAACTCTAGAAGTACTTCAATATCCAGCACAGGACGAAATTGCAAGAATCCGTAAACGGAAACGTGGCAGAAACATGTTAAACCGTTCCGGAAACACGACGGATAACCTGTGTTTCCGTTACCGGTTTCGTGACGTTTTCTCGCGTTTCCGTTGCTGCGTATACAACGGAACCGGACCACTTTCACTTTTTTAAACATAACGGAAACATGGAGTTGCATGTTTCCGCCACGTTTCAGAAATACGGAAACATGTGATTTCGTCCTGTGCAGTAATCGAGTTTATTAGATAGAGGGAGACGCATGTGACTTATAGACAGGCACTACTGACAGCGATTTGATCCAACATATCAATACTGTATACCAGATTGTCGTGTGATAAAAAGGATTATCCGTTCTTATAAATACATCGGGACTCTTTGAGAAAGAAATGAGCTGTGCCCGCAATTTTACTCTCTTGAGAAAGAAGGACGGCAGTTACCTTGACAGAAAGGAAGTTTTCCGCTCCACCTTGAAGAAGCAAGACATGTTCTCGACTGTGATCCAACCAAATCATATCCAGGTTCGCAAGAAAATGAACAAGTGGCATCAGTTACAAGTCCTGAACAATTCATTCCGCCATGAGGTGGTGAAAAAATCTTCTCACAAGGCTGAGCTAGAAGATTGTTACAAGAGTTTTCAGCGATGAGCTCGTTCATTCAAGGACAATTCAGACGTATTTATTACTCATCTCCTAAATTCCCTTACTCTTTTTCAGTCCATTTTGGCCGCAATTGGTGAATACCTGTGACTGTTGTAAACAAACTCGAACGTTCTTTTCGTTTTTAAGCTCAATCCTTAGTTCAGCGGTTGTGTTCAAGGCTTTGACCTCGTACTGCCTCATTTGTGGAAGGGAAAAGAAAGGACAGAAAGCTGAAGCGCACCAGTGATAACAAACAAAAAGGCGTTAGTAGAAACACTAAACTCCTTTGATTATATCTGAGTTTTGATGTTATTGTGGTTGCCTGCCACCTTAAAAGTTAGCATTGATGATTGTTATTTGAACACTTATTCGCCTTGCACAAGAATGAATTAAAGGTTAGTGAATTAAACCACTTTAACTTCAAACTGATATTTCGAAACCTTTTACTCTCATGCTTCGAAGGAGTAAGGAAGTGACGTATAGACAATGTGCACAAAAGAGCTTCTCGAGAACCTTTCTGATTATTCTGAAAAAGTTAAATCAATGAGTCAGCATCGAATACAAAAAGACAAATCGCTCTTGAAGACGAACCTTTGCACTTTTTCCCGTCTGATGACAATGTGTAGCCTGGTCTACATGAGCAAAAGTAGTTACCGTCCGTGTTGTGGCAGTAATGTTCACAGGAATGGCTTCCAGTGTGGCATTCGTCAACATCTAAGGACAAGACAGAAGAGAGTATAGGGATATGATTTATTTCGAGGAAACCGGTTGAAATGATATTCAAAGAAAAATAGAACCTTTAAATAAGTGTAATTGCTTCTACGCACAGATGAGGCAGTCGCAATCAGTGAACATGTCCAGACAACTCGTAATTCAGAAACAAGATGTTAAGCTGCATGGAAATGAAGTACATGTTGTGCGTTAGTGGTTTTTTAAGTGCCATTTTAGGTTAGTCTTGAAACAGAGTCCGAATAAACAGCAATTGCCTAAAAATCCCAACTAGTAGGAGGAGGACCAGTTGGCTTTTTACATAGTGCAGCTTAATAGATGAATTTAGAACTATTAAAAACAAATCCAGCTCATGAATAATTTCCGCGAGCATCGGTGCGAAGGCTTTTAACCTCAGGCTATCTTTCCCCTCAGTGCGCAGCCACTTGGCCACACTACCTTACAATTTTAGGGAAATAAGCTTTTTGATCTTTGGAAAATCGATTTTTTTTCAGAGTTTCCTTTTCTTTAAGTTTATTTTTCCCAGAAGTTCACAAAGAAATTATTTGCCATTTTGATGCGGCTTTATTTTTTATCCGTTTGCTTGCTCAACAATGCAATCCGGAAAAATAAGGTAGCACACTAACCTTTACACTGCCTCTTGTCGTACATCAGCGCATATCCTTTCCTACAAGAACACTGAAAACTTCCTTCAACGTTCGTGCAGATGTGATGACAACCAGAAAGAGTGGCTGTTTCTTTACTTCCAGCGATGGTTTTTTGGTCACACTCATCGACATCTACGAAAAACTATCTGATGAGTTTTTATCAATACGTTAATTCCATTTAAAGGAACGGTACAAATCCACATTTTAAGAAATCCTTCGCTGTTGCTTCGAAAGCAACAGACCTCTGAGAAGTACCATTTATTGTTGGAAAGCGCTTAATATCATGGTTCAAATCTAAAACGCAGAACTTACCGTACATGAAATCCTGCGTTCCAATTTTCGAGTTTGGTTCCAAAAATTACCTGTGCATGTCCTGTTATCAGTCGTTAGTTGATATCCTTTGTTACAGGAGCACTTGTATCCACCAAGAGTATTGCTACAAATGCCTTGACAGTCGTGACCTAACTTGCATTCATCAATGTCTGAAAAAACAAAGGCTACTGTTCGACATCACCATCACAACCCTAATTCTAATTAGCTACATACATGCTGCTGATTCTAACTACTACTGCCTCGATAACGTCTAACTACAGAAAATATTTTCAAACGTGAGTAGACACGACGTCAAACCTGAAAACGGTGGTTCTTATAAACTTTCTGACAAGTAATGAGACCATTAACTTTCCAAAACCAACTTCCTTTATATTAACGTGGTCAACTTAACAAGATGGTGGTCGAGTAACATGAACAACCACCAGACTCACTCATTCACTGATCGTCATAGCAGTATAAAGCCCTAGTAGCCATGAGAGTATTAAGCCCTGATAGCCATAACAGTATGAGGCCCTGATAGCCGTGACAGCATAAAGCCCTGACAGCCATGACAGTATACAGCGCTGACAGCCGTGACAGTATGAAGCACTGACAGCCATGACAGCATAAATACCTGATAGCCATGACAGTATAAAGACCTGATGGCCGTGGCAGTATGAAGCCCTGTCAGCCATGACAGTATAAAGACGTGATGGCCGTGGCAGTATGAAGCCCTGTTAACCATTACAGTATAAAGCCCTAATGGCCATGACAATATGAAGCCCTGTCAGCCATGACAGTATGAAGACGTGATGGCCGTGGCAGTATGAATCCCTGTCAACCATTACAGTATAAAGCCCTAATGGCCGTGGAAATATGAAGCCCTGTCAGCCATAACAGTATGAGGCCCTAATCGCCATGACAGTAAAAAGCCCTGTTAGCCATGACAGTATGAAGCCCTGATAGCGTGACAGTAGAAAGCCCTGACACCCATGACGGTATGAAGCCCTAAGGGCCATGACAGTATACAGCCCTGTTAGCCATGACAATATTAGGCTGGGAGGGCCATGACCGTGTAAAGCCCTAACAGCCATGACAGCATAAAGCCATGAGAGCCATGAAAGTATAATTTCTCACAGCCATGACAGTATACAGCCCTGACAGCCGTATAAGCCGTGACAGTATGAGGCACAGATAGCCATGGCAGTGCAAAGCCCTGTCGGACGTGTCAGTATAAAGCTCTGACAGCCATGACAGTATGAAGCCCTAATAACCATGACAATATGAAGCTCCGATAGCCATGATAGTATAACGCCCTGAAAGCTGTAACAGTAGGAAATCCTGACAACCATAACGGTATGAAGCCCTGAGAGCCATGACAATGTAAAGCCCTGTCGGCCGTGACAGTATGAAGCTCTGACAGCCATGACGGTATAAAGCACTGTCAGTCGTGACAGTACGAAGCCCTTTCAGCCATGACAGTATAAAGCCCTGTCAGCCATGACAGCCGTAACAGTAAGAAGCCATGACAGCCATGACAGTATGAAGCCCTGACAGCAGTGACAGTATAAAGCCCTGATAGGGATGACAGTATAAAGTCCTGACAGCCGTGAAAGTTTGAAGCCCTGAGAGGTCATGACAGTCTATGGCCCTGATAGCCATGACAGGACCTATCAGCCGTGACAGTATGAAGACGTGATGGCCGTAGCAGTATGAAGTCTGTCAACCATGTCAACATAAAGCCCTGATGGCCGTGACAGTGTAAAGCCCTGTCAGCCATGACGGTATAAAGCCCTAATAGCCATGACAGTATACAGCCCTGTTAGCCATGACAGTATGAAGCCCTGATAGCCGTGACAATATTAGGCTGGGAGAGCCATGACCGTGTAAAGCCCTAACAACCATGACAGCATAAAGCCCTGAGAGCCATGACAGTATAAATTTCTTACAGCCATGACAGTATACAGTCCTGACAGCCGTGTCAGTATGAAGCCCTGACATCCATGACATTATAAAGCCCTGACATCCATAACAGTATGAAGCCTTTATGACCATGACAATACAGTAGGAAATCCTGACAGCCATGACAGTATAAAGCCCTGTTGGCCCTATTGGCCATAACAGTATGAAGCCCTTTCAGCCATGACGGTGGGAAGCCCTGATAGCCATAACAATCTGAAGCTCCGATGACTGTGATGGTATAAAGCCCTGAAAGCTGTAACAGTATCAAACCCTAACAACCATGACTGTATAAAGCCCTGACAGCCCTGACAATATAAAGCCCTGTCAGCCGTGACAGTATAAAGCCCTGTCAGCCGTGACAGCATGAAGCACTGTCAGCCGTGACAGTATGAATCACTGTCAGCCGTGACAGTATGAATCACTGTCAGCCGTGACAGTGTGCAGCCCTGACAGCCATGACAGTGTGAAGCCCTGACGGCCATGACATTATGAAGCCATGTCAGCTGTGACGGTATGAAGCCCTGACAGCCATAAAGATATGAAGCTCCGATAGCTATGATAGTATAAAGCCCTGAAAACTGTAGCAGTAGGAAATCGTGACAATCATAACAGTATGAAGTCCTATCAACCATGACGGTATGAAGCCCAGACAGCCATCACAGCATAAAGCCCTGATAGCCATGACAGTATAAAGCCCTGGCAGCGGTGACAGTAAGAAGCCAAGACAGCCATAACAGTATGAAGCCAAGACAGCCGTGACAGTATGAAGCCCTGACACCAGTAGCAATGTAAAGCCCTAATTGTGATGACAGTGTAAAGCCCTGACAGCCGTAACAGTTTGAAGTCCTGACAGCCATGATAGAAAAAGGCCCTGATAGCCGTGACAGTAAAAGATCCTAGTAGCCGCGACAGCATGAAGCCTTGTTAGCTGTGACAGTATAAAGCCCTGACAGCCATCACAATACGACGTCCTTATAGCCGTGACGATATGAAGCCCTGAAAGCCGTGACAGTATGAGGCCTTGACAACCAAGACAGTATAAAGCCCTGACAGCCAACACAATAAGACGCCTTTATAACTGTGACAGTATAAAACCCTGAAAGCCGTGACAGTATAAAGCCTTGAAAACCACGACAGTATAAAGCCCTGACAGCCATGACAGCATGAAGCTCTACCAGCCGTGACAATATGAAGCCCTGATAGCCATGACAATATGAGGCCGGGATAGCCATGACCGTGTAAAGCCGTGACAGCCATGACAGTATAAAACCCTGAGAGCCATGACAGTACAAAGTTCCTACAGCCATGACAGTATGAAGCCCTGATAGCCATAACAATATAAAGCGCCGATGGCCATGATAGCGTGGAGCCCTGAAACCTGTGACAGCATGAAATCCTGACAGCCATGATGGTGTAAAGCCCTGTGAGCCGTGACGGTATGAAGCCCTGATAGCCATGACAGTATGAAGCCCTGAGAGCCATGACAGTGAGAAGCCCCGAGAGTCGTGATAGTATGCAGTCCTGAAAGCCGTGACAGTATGAAGCCCTGACAGCCATGACATTATAAGGCCCTGATAGCCGTGACGGCATGAAACCCTATCAGCCGTGACAACTTAAAGCCCTGACAGCAATGACAATATGAGGCCTAGACAGCCGGGGCATTATGATACCATGACAGTATACCGTAATATACCGTGACAGTATGTAGCCCTGTCAGCCATGAGATTATGACGCCCTATTAACCATGAAAGCGTGAAGCCCTGACAACCATCACAATACGAAGCCTTTATCCGTGCCAGAACGAGACCCTATCAGCTGTGATACTTTTAAACCCTGAATGCACGACAATGTGAAACCCTGACAGCATGAGGCTCTGACAACCATAGTAGTATGAAGTATTAACAAGTATGGTTTCTCGCCCAAAATGCGGCTGAAAAGTTATTGATTGTGCGGCTGTTCATCTACCAATCCGCGTGAAGCCCATGTTTGATGCCCAGGTATGTGCCCGCGCTACGCTGTACCAAGGGCTTGTGTTCCAGTTTGTGCACTTTATCTTGATTTTCTATGCAATAGGAATCGGATTTCAAGAATAGCATGTAATCGTGCATGTGCATTACTTGCTCCTGAACCCTTCTACTAACGTAATGGATAGATGTTCCGGAATACAGTTGAGAAACTTGCACGTTCGGACTTATAGTTACCTGACAAAGCAAATTTCCTTGTTTTGATATTTTTTATTATTATTACTATTTTCACCATTATTTACAATATCATTACAATGTTTTGTTGCGCGCGCTGCGTGCCTCGCCATTACAATTTATATGTGGTTAATGTTACCTGAACAGGTCCTTCCATTGCTGTTTAAATTAAATCCCTTATCGCAGCTGCAGCGATGGCTGCCGAACAGATTTCTACAGGTATGGTGGCAGTTTCCGTTGTTGCTGACACACTCGTTAATATCTATGAGAAAACAGAAAAGTTCATTGAAAAAAAAAAAGATTGTTATTTATTGTAGCGTTTAATAGAGATAGAGTATTGTCGTTTGTCTAATAGTTATGACATACTTAGACTACTTCACCTATTCCATTGATCAAAAATTGTTCTTGGTTGCATGTAATACCTGTACATAATGCATTGTTAAATACATTTTTTTTAGAAACATCTGTAAATATAATTATAGTGGTCCGGGTTACCTGAAGCTTCCTTGTCTTTTGATGACAATGCATTCGATTTGGATGGGGAAAACCCTAGACCCAAGAAATCCCCAATAACCAATCAAAACGAGAAAAATGCTCTAAGTGGCCCTAGAAAACACGAAGTGGAAACCCTTAAGGGGGGGGAGAACCGTCGGGAGGCGAGGTATCGTCGAGAGGTTAGCGTGAGTTATATTTAACCAACCAAAGGACATGGAGAGGCACTGCGATGTAAATTAATCTTTCCAACATGGTAAAGCGGCTTTTATTACAAAATATTTCTGATTTAAACATACCTCTACATGCTTTTCCGGAAACAAGGCGGAAGCCTCGCGGACAGTTGCATTTGTACCATCCAGGATAGTTCACACACTGGCGTCTGCAGCCTCCGTTATTCACGGCGCACTCATCTATATCTGGAACAATATGCATGGAACAATTCACCGCAGATCAAAACACAAAGCATCACTGAATAAGATTTCTTTTTTAATAATACCAACACATCTTTATATACGATTATGTATTGCAGAAAACGGAGTTAATTTGAGGTGTTTGATAACTCTTAAGGCTCCGCCTTAAAAATGGTGACTATTAAGATTTGGGGACCGATGAATATCTCACCACACAAGGAATTTATGCCAGCACCCAAAATATACGGCCTTTAATCTATAATCTTTCGAATACTTCTGTAATCATGTGTTTTTTCGGCCAGATAAATTCCGTTGACAACGAGGCTGTAATTTTTAGTTTCTATGCATTTTGGAAAAGGACGGTAGTCGAAGGAGGTAAATACGTTTCTAAAGAGATAACCATGGTTGATAAAATGCAATTTTTTTTATTCCTATATATATATTTCTATTCCGTAAGTTTTGGTGATTTGTTTTGAATATGACGGTGTTTGATTAAGCTAAAGCTCTCCTACATTCAGGTCGAGTTAAATGACCTAAACCGTAAAGCTATATAACATTGACTTACTTAGCGATCCAAAGTACAGCACCATTGTCCTCTATCAAAGATGAATCAACTAACTCAGTTAACTTTTTCTCTTGTTAATTGAACAAAAAAACTTTCCCTTCTGCTGAATTTTTTGTTCTTCCACTTTTTTTTTGCCGCATTCTTAAAATCAACCGATTGTACTCATACCTGTACATAGTGTGTCACTCTGAAGTCTGTATCCCTTGTCACAAGTGCATTTAAAACTTCCAACCGTATTCATGCATCGTTTTCCACATGAATTTGATCCGGAAGCGCAGGTGCACGCAGAGCTGAATGTGCACTCGTCGACATCTGCCGGACATATTAAAACAAGTGCTAAGGTCACATTACAGCCTTATATAATAACCGAATATATTAGGTACGAAAAATACATTGTGACATTTTTGCACTGAGTACTGAAAGTTGACACTTACCATTACACTTTGTGTCATCAAATTTGCTTACATTGTACCCTGGGTAGCAATAGCATAATCTCGCTGCACCTCTTTTATTGGAACAACCCTGTTCACATCCTCCCTTGTTTGGGGAGCATTCGTTTACATCTGTCGAAAGTAAAAGGAAACAAACCGATCAAGCTTAATCTGCAGGATCTATTGAAATGTTCACTTTCGAAAAGCTTCTCACTGAGTACTCATAGAAAGTAAAACAGCTTACCTATGCTACAGGTAGGTCCAGTCCAAAATGGAGTACACCTGCATGAGTTTGGACGTGTGCAATTGCCACCGTGGCTGCAGCCATTATCACAAATTGCTGGTGAAACAAAAGGATAAGTAGAATGGAAAGGATTTCGTATTTCAGAACAATGTTATCTAATTTCACATTTTAGCCACCCAGGAACCAACACATAGGCTATTAGGCAAATGTAGAGTTTTCACCAGCAGACGATCAAGCTGTGATACTTAATATCCCCCGCATGTTTAACTGATCTAACTTAACTAACCTAGTTTTCGTGGAGGATGAATACACGTCTCATAAGATGTCCTTATAACTCAGCTTCTCCTCACAAAATTTTTCATGATTCCCTGATTCTCTAGGGACCTCTTGGATTTATGGGTGATCTAAGAAGAGTTTAAGAGAGATTGCGTAATAATCACATCCTCCCTTTGATCTAACCTATTGGGCAGCTATCTCCTCTTCTTTGCCATCCGCGGCAGCATAGTAGGTAAGTGTCAGTAGTCCATTGGTAGACCGTCCTTCTCCTGTAACCGGTAACAGTTCTAGAAGGTAAAGAGAACTCATTCATGTACACTCAGTCAGCACTTTCACTTCAACCATGTTCCTTTACTAAATGACACGATCGCCAATCGCACGTTTGCCCACCTTTTTTCAGGTTCCCATGGCGGTCTGCCTGTATCCTATCATATGCCAAGGTCCAAGGAGGGGGAGGCGGGGGTGGGGGGCAGGGGGGGAGGAGACCGGTGTAATAACACAGCGATCCACACGTTCAAGCGGTTACTGAAGAGACATTTAATCTCTATCAAGTGCCTTCAAGGTACAAACGAAACTGAATATATAATGAGTCTAGCAGCACGTGCAAATGAAATTCAACACAGGGCGTGAAAATACAATATTATAACAACCGGCACTGGCAAACAACAACAGCAGTAGCAGCAGCAATATCCACAATAACAGCAACAGCAACTACAACAAAAGCAACAAAAACTCATGACAGCAACAATAAAAACAGTAACAACGATGTTTTAAAGGACTGAAACAAACAAATTTTCTTGCTTCCCTTCATATTTCATTAAAGATAACTTACCTGGACTTTATGCAACGTCCCAAACCAAACATTCCACAGCGTGTTTTGTAGTACACATAGTTGACAGTCGTCACTCGGATGGATGACGCAACAGACCTACGTTTCTCCTCCTCGCAAACGTTTGAGCTACAAAAAGATACATTAATCACAGAAGGAAAGAATCACTGATGAGTTTTAACCGTTTTTGTCATTGCAATTGTTACGGCCAGCTACAAATTTTAATTTTCTTCATTTCTAACTTCAATTTATAAATGAAAAGCAGCCACAAGTCGATAGGCTTGATTGCTCTAGACACCAAGTCGTCTGGCACTAGGCCAATATGTGCAAACTATTCTTTATGTTATCGAACTGGCCCTGTGGTTTTCTAGAATTATTCTACAATCTCAATCCATTGATGAGCGTTGTGCAAACTGAAGTCGATCATTTGCAATTAATTGTTAGGAACTATCCAACAAAATATTTGTACACAATTACATTCAACTCCATGGTGGCGAGTGAGGATGAGAATAACAAAAAAAAAACTCTTTTTAAAGAAAATAACCTTCTCATAAAAAAATGGAGCAAAAATGGAAGCACTAATATAATATGAAATACAAATCTGTTTTGAGAGTTTACTGATGGAACGCGAAAAATAGAACGATTTCAGTGAATTAAAATTGCATTTTCCTCTTAGTTTGGAGCATTTAAAAAATCAAACACACACGGTTTGGAGCACTTCAAAAAAAGCAAACACACGCACTAATAATTGAGAGTTGGAAATCGAAATTAAAGTGCCGCTCTTGCTAAGAGCGGTCCTCTCGACTTCCCGTCGGAAAAAGTTTTCTTTTATTTTTTGCTCATGAAAAGGGTTTAGGACACGTTTCAAAAATAGTTTAGTTGTTCTCCAATTCTCTTTTTTGTGCGTCGCCACAGGCCAAAAGGGATTTTTGGCTAGATCACCCGTGTGGACAGCGATCGAAAGTGTAAATTTCACAGATTTTGTCCAGCGCGCAGCGACTGCAACAATATAGCTAATAGAATTCTATCTCGCTAGCTTGTCTTCAAATTTGACTCTAAGTTTACTCATTTCTTTTGTTATTTAACTTGCGCTTTTAAGCTAACTCTGTCGAAGTTTTTCCCTTTACTCGTTTTCTCTTTCACCAGTCGAACGTTTTATGTAACATTTTCGTTTGAATATATGTGTTTTAACCTTTAATAATTTTTTTCGATGCCCTTTCCTGCATGCGCTACATGTTTTAGTAGCCCCATCTCGTTAGCAATTTAGTCTGCACGTTATTTTCTCGAACAAATTTGTAAAGTATTTCATCTTGACTTTCTGTCAATGGATTAACATCTTTTTCAGGTTAGGAGAAACAGACATTGGTAAATTATACGGGCAGGCATACGGCCATCTTATTGCTAACTAGTTACACTCCTGTAAATGGGTGAGTATCATCCGGGCCGAAAAATATAAAAAGTGAAAAAGGAGACATACCCAACTCTTGAGAGTCCATCAGTATAAAGGGCTGCATATGCTACAATGGGGTAGAGCACTAGTACAAGAAACACTCCTAGACATGTCTTTTTCACCTCGCTATACGTCATGTTCGTGCAGCAAGCATGAGTTACACCCGAAGAGCAGCAGAACAACTCACTTCCTCGCCACGAGGACCGAGAAGGTCTTTAAGAGTAGCTCACTGTTGGAGGGTTTATCTAAGGCCTATTTACTTCCTAGGTGAGCTGTCATATATTACGTCTGAAACGTCAGCTGAAACGTCTGAAACGTCTGAAATGTTTGTTTGTCTAAACGTTGATAAAACGCGAGAAGTAGTTAATTGGGAGGTTTTGAGGCTCTGCCAACTTGGCACAGTAATCGAATACATCACCACTCGAATGGGAGAAGTTAATGATAATTCAGAGCATTGACAATATCTTTCAGCGACTGGTGCAAAGAGTAGAAAAACCGCAGGATCTAGGATACAAGAGCGGTGTAACTTTACCTTTGAAACACCTTTTAACCGCCTTTTAATTGTGCAGAGTGAGCTGCTGGTTTTGAGATTTCGGTTTATCCAACTCCATAAAGATAAGAAGTACCGCGGAAAGTCCATAGTTAGTGGGTAGTAAGCGGAGGAGATGTTGAGGAGTAGCAGATAAAAAGAGGAAGAGAATTGTCGTAGGGATTTGGTTATTTTCTCCGGGTCGGCGCCAAAATTTTGTAATTAACTGCCTGGCTTTCTGCATACACTTTGCGCCTCCACAGCCCGAGGCAGACGAGGAAGGGAAGGGTGAGAGGGGTAGGAGGGTTGGAAGGGGGGCTCCAAGATGAAGGAAGCAGATGTTTTTCATCTCGCTTAAGTGTATGTTACAACATTTTTGTTGTTAGCCGTCAATGTCTCGTTTAGGGTCGCAATCGAACTGAGATACAGTGAGTGAATGTGATGACCAAAAGACATGACGTGCCTCTTAAATCCTAATTTTAAAACTTATTCGATAATTAAGTTCCTTTCATGATAAATTCTAATTGCAACTTGCTATACGCTATATGTCGAAAAAATCGTCTCCTTTAGGGTCAATAAAAGCTGGAGCCAACCCAGATTTGTCTCCTTGTAGAGGGTTTAATTTAATTTTCCAACGAGCTTCCCCGCCCCTCTCACAGTGGAATTCCCTCGCGTCACCACAAAAGCTCTCCAAAACA